CACACACACACACACACACACACACACACACACACACACACACACACACACACACACACACACACACACACACAAGATGAATCAATCGATCAATCAATCAACACATCAATCAATCAATCAATCAAGATCCTATCGATTTGATAGGATCTTGATTGATTGGTTGATTGATTGATTGATTGATTGATTGATCGATTGATTGTGCATGTGTTTGTGTGTGTGTGTGTGTGTGTGTATGTGTGTGTGTGATTTTTTGTTTTTTGTTCATTTTTTCATATTCATTAACTTTTTTTTTTTTTTCCAGGTTGGCACGGTAGTTGGCGGCGCGTGGGCGAAGACAGCGACAGAGACGAACTTGTTGACTTATCCGCCGCGTATGTGGCCACAGACACGGTCGCGCGGCCCCGTCCGCGGAGTTAGGTGCGGCCGCGCGGAGTCATACACTTCGGCGAGGCTTTGAACTTGGCCGTGTCTCGCGGAGTGCCTTCTCGGGGCTGCTGCGCAGGTGGGATAGGGCGGGTCCTCAAGCGGGACGGGGCGGCCGTTGAGCCCGCTGCGTGGCCAGGGACTTCATCATCATCAGTCCTGGTGGTGGGGGGAGGGGGGCGGGGTTGGTGAGGGCCACCGACAACTGAAATGTCGAGCGGTGCAGGTGGCTCGGGGGGCAGCGCTTTCATACCTGCCCCCGATGCAGAAATGGATAAACTGCGCAGCAAGTCTCGTGTCTGGCGTCATGTAACGCAGGGCCAGAAGTTGGGGACGTGGGAGAAGAGGCATGGGGACCACAAGCTGCACTGCAATTACTGCAAGCACGAGTGGCAGGGCAATGTGTTCAAGGCATCGCGCCACTTCACGCAGTTGAAGTGGTGTGCGGCAGTACCGATGGACGTGATGGTCAATATTTGGAACCACACAAACTATGAGTTCGATCCACGTCATCATCATCACCATGATATCTTGGCATACATGAGGGATCACGATATCGAGCCGTTGACGCCCCTTGAGGCAGTGGCAGGGGCAGGACGGGTGGCAGGGGGTCACGACCACAAGAGCGTGATCCGGTGGAGGAGGTGCAGGACTACCTTGACAAGGACGCGAGGCGAGCAGAGGGCAAAAGCGGAGAGGAGGGTGGAGGGACAGGAACTGAACCAGATTTGCCGGGAGAGGAGGTTGTTATGACTGTGCGAGGGAGTAGGGTCGCAGACCATGTCGACGGGGACGCACGGGGGCGAGCGGGGAAGAGGCCGGTTGGGAGTAGAGATGAGGGTGTGTCGCAGGCGTGCAAGAGACAACGGTAGTCCAGACTGGACGAGGTGTACGATCCGGATGGGCAGGCCAAATTCAGGGACTCCTTTTTGTAGTGGGTGTACGATTCCGGTATCCCTTTCGCTGCATTCAGAAGGCAGTCATGGCTTCGACACAAGAAGCAGTTGGTTGCTATGCCTCGCGGAGTGCGGCCGATATATCCATCGTTCAAGGACATTGGGGGCAGGGGTATTGTAGATCAGCGAGGGAAGGTAGCCGCGATGTTGCGGGAGGTCCGTGGCTCGTTTGAGTTGGTATGGGCCACCATTTGGTCAAACGGTCGGCAATCGCGAGACTCTAGGCCTATAGTTAACTTCCTTGCAGCCGCCAAGCGCGGTGCCCTTACGTACGCCACCGTCTTCCGAGATGGTTCAATGCCCGAGACGACACAGATCGTCCTCAGGAGGTGGAAGGTCATTTTTCAATCTTTCCCTCTGAAGGACGTGTTGGTCATTTGCACGGACTCTACATCGAACTATACGTCGGCCGCAAAGCTCCTTGCAAAGGATGCCGATCCCCTGATCCGCCGTATCACTTGGCTCCCGTGTTCCACCCACGTCTGCAACTTGATGTTGTCTAACGTTGGAACACGGGTTCCTTGGGTTAGGGATACCATACTTAGAGCTCGAGCGTTGGTGCGATTTATTAAATCGCATGGTGCGCCCCAGTGTCGGACCCATGAACGTGACCAGCACCAGTCACTTGAACGTGACCGGCTGTTCATTTGGTGTTTTTTGGTGAACGGCCGTTCACGGTGAATGGGCCGACCACTAAAGAGTGTTTTTTTTTGTTTGTTTTTTTTTTGGGCTCCCCAAGGTACATTCGCCTCAAGCCCCACATCGTGGTGACATTGAAAAAAAAAAAAAAAATTCGGAATGACCTACAAAATAGCAAAAGAAAATGCTTATTTTGGCTGGTTGATTTTTTTTTTTGTTTTTAATTAAAAACAAATATTATTCGTAAAAAACAAAATTTGAAAAAATTATACGGAGTTACCTTTCGATTTCCCCCACCCTCCTATAAAAAAACAAACATACCCCCCCAGAAAAAAAAAAAAAAAAAAAAAAACCTGCTCTCCGTGAACTCCATGAACTCCCGTGTCGTGAACTCTATGACCGGCTCCGTTCACAAACCTCGTGAACGGTGAACGGGGGTACGACACTGGTGCGGCCTATCACCTTTTCAGGGTGAAGAGTCGTCGCCGAGCACTTGTGCATCCCGTGGAGACGCGATTCGCGTTCGTTTTTTTTATGTTCGTGTGTTTGCTCGCCAGGCGTAATGCCTTGGAGAGCATGCTTCATGACGATGAGTGGGACAAGATCCCGTGGGAGCCGAGGTTGCCGACACAGGCTCTGTGGGTTCGATAGGTCATCCGGTGCGCCGATTTCTGGTGCAACGTTGAGTACGTTGTCGCCGTCATGACCCCTGTCCACCAGTTGTTGAGGAGATTGGACAGGGGCGGCATGATTATGTCCATGATGTACTCATGGTCACGGGAGTTGGTGTGGCAGGTGGCTGCCATTGAGGTCCCGGATGACATGCGGGAGCCGTGCGTGGAGGCGGTGGAGATCCGCACCATGCATATGCTTGAGCCTGCGCATGCTGCGGCGCACCTGCTCAACCCCCGCAGACGTTCCCTCCGTTACTACGAGTCCGTCCGCAGGACAGCTGCGGACCTCGAGGTGGTCACCAAGTGCAACTCTTTTCTATTGGCATAGACAGGCGGTGATCCGGCGGGGGAGACGTACTTGCGGGTGTACGAGCATATGCGGTCGTTCCACGCTCGGATTGAGCACACGACAGACAGGGTGACGAGGGACGCCGAGGCGGAGGCATGCATTGGGGATGACGAGACGAGCAGGTGCGCGTCATGGTGGCTGGAGCACGGCGCATGCTTCCCGGACTTGCAGGAGATCGCTGGTCGTGTGATGCATATGTGGACGTCTGCCTGTCCTGCTGAGAGGAATTGGGCAGAGCATGAGCGCATCCACACGGCCAAGCGCAACAAGCTCAGGTTCAGGAAGGTCGCGCAGTTAGTGGAGATTGCTACAAATCTCAAACTACTTGGATTCAGCGAGCGAAGTGGGAAGTACGTGCTTCCGTGGGGTCACATGGCGACTTTAGCGGAGGCACAACAAGAGGAGTACACCCACCCTCTGGTCGACGCAAGGATGGTGAGCAGGAGCCTGAGCCAGAGGTTTGGGGAGCTGGAGCTTAGTCAGCAGTGCCTGCACACGAGATCAGTATACAGCTTCGTCACTTCCAGCGGCGGGGTGGTCGGCACCCAGCGGGTTGCTGAGGTCTTTGGTGCTAGAGCCGAGATACTGCATCCTCCACCGCCAGCAGAGCCAGTGCAGGCGTCGAAGGACCCGACGGATACGGACGGTGGAGAGGATTTGCCCGTTGGTGTAGATAAGAGTGCCGAGAGACTCTACTACACGTACGGCGGGGGACCAGATGGATTTCAGCCACGCTGTACCGTCATTCGGGAGAGCGACGACGACACCATCCCCGCTACAGTAACAGGGTTGGACCGTGGACAGCGAGACGCTTCAGGCGGCGCAAGTGGTTCAGTCCCTGGTGTGGCAGGGAGGACACCGGGGTGGACGACGAGGACGACGACGACGGACGACGAGGAGCCATTGGTGTTACTCAGAGCACGCTTGGCGCGCGAGCGCGCCTCATCCGCCGTCGAGGGTCTTAGGCAATCACTGAGGTTGCAGGCGAGGATGAAATCGCCTACAGGTGGTAGAGGCGAGGTGTCAGACCATCTAGACGACATCACAGCAGAGGCGCATTTGGCGAGACAGTGCACACCCGCCTCAACACCTGGGGCCGACGTGGAGCAGACAGAGCTGCGCACGAGTGGCTTTCATGGTCATGGACACGGACTTTCTGGCAGCGGTGTTCGAGGAGCGACTCACGGGCAAGCCAGAGTGGGGGATGACATCGAGTACCGTCCTATGGAGGGTGGTAGAGCAGAGTCTACGGAGGAGCTCCATGCCCGGATGGATCGGGAGGAGCAGCAGCGGCTGGAGCAGTTGCAGAGAGAGTGGGAAGGTAGACATGCCTACATGGGGGAGCAACAACGTATTCGGGACTTGGAGACCGGTGCTGCACTTCTTGATGCGGGCGGGGTCGAGCATCACGCTCCTACAGTCCCGCATCCATTTACAGCCGACGCGTCGACACCTGACACACGTGGACCGTTGACGTCACCCCCGGGCGATGTCGACTCAGGGTCCGCAATGGGAGGAGACAGTACTGCGTCTGAGTATGGAGATCCGGGCTTGTCCACCGTCATACTTGGATTGGATGCGGCGGGCACGTTGCAGCCTGATCCTCCAGTCACTTAGGAGGCAGTTCATATGGAGGGCGATTCAGGCAAGTCGGATGGAGGTCGTGGACCAGATGCGGAGGGCGATGATGGGGAGGGTGATGTAGGTCGTCCTGCACTTGCGCACAATGCTAGTCCATGTCGATCGTCACCGGGGCCAATTGGGGGTGACGCATCTGGACGTGTACAGGGTGATAATGCGGCCGAGGTCGGAGGCAATGATTCGTTGGCGTTAGTGTTGCGGGATCCGTCACCGATGGCGTATGACATTCCGTCAGAGTCTTTGGAGGGAGGAGGGGGTGCGGATGAGGAGGCGGAGGGTGGTACGGCACATGACCGTCATGACCCTGTGAGAGCAGATATGGAGGAGGGGCAGAGGTCCGGGCTTGTTTGTCGGGCGGCCGAAGGTCAGTCGGCCACCCTAATTTCCACAGATTGAGCCCTATATTAACTGCCTGAAGGCAGATTAGCTGGAACTTTCGTCCACGCTGACGGGGAAAATTAGGGGTACCTCGAGCACCCCTAAAATTGGATGTGACGACTGCTGAGACTGGCCCTCGAAACTGGCAAGAGGGACTACCTCTTCTACCGCGCCAGCATCTATCTTATTTTCGCCGCTCCTAGCCTGTTTCCAAAATGACTGGTCGTGGAACAGTAATTTGGGGGGGGGCCTTGGCATGGCCCTTTTACGCTGCCCAACTGGCGCGGGAATCAAGCCTCGGATATCATTAATTTTAAATATTCAAATTAAAAATGGGAAAAATAATTTAAAACCGTAGAAGGGATGAGAAAAACGGGATATTTTTTATTTTAGTAAATTTCCTCGATAATTAATTTTAATGGAATCGTCCTCATTAATTGTTATTTCCGATAATAAAATCAAAACTAAGAAAAAGAATCAAAACGATAAAAGGGAACGAGAACATGGGAGTTTCCCTTATCTAATTGAATTTTATCAGAGTTCCTTTTTGATGAGATCACCTTTATTTTCATTATTTTTCATAAGAGAATTATGAAATAAGAAGAAAAAAAAACGAAAAATGAGAAAAGGGAAGAAAATCGGTGATTATTAATGTTTGATTAAATTTTACTCAAGTTATTCGCGATCGGTCTCAGTCCGGATTATTTATCTCTAATACTATAAAGGAAATAGAGGGTCTCACGTGACGGTCCCACGCGAGCACCCGTCACCAGCGTTGGGAAAAATGAAGGGGCCCACGGCCCATGCCGGGAGCGGGCGGCGAAACGGCGCGAAGGCCAATGGGTCGGGAGCGGGCGGCGAAACGGCGCGAAGGCCGAAGGGGTCGGGAGGGGGTGGGGAAACGACGACCGGGCGGGGAAACAGTGAGCGGGCGGGCACTGCACGCAGGGGAGTGTGTCGAACAGTGGGTCGAATGAGCGGAGCTGCGGGCGGGCGGGAAGATACAGCACTCCGTTTCATTGGATGTTGCTCATCTTATCGATCGAAGTAGCATGGCGCGAGCCGCGAGGTCGGAGAGTTATAGTCTCTCTCTCTCTCTCTCTCTCTCTCTCTCTCTCTCTCTC